AGCATTCTCACCAGCCTGTATTATTGTGCACGTACATTAATCCTGGTGGAGCCAGGCGCTGCCCGGTCGCACTGAGGTGTGGGACAAAAACAGCTCCATCTTTTATCGTCTCACCAAACCCTCTGTCTGTCAGTGTCATCACACTTTTCAGCCACCAAGTTATGTGGGAAGTTCCTCCTCTTAAAAGAAAGATCCCAAAGGCCATTTAAAATAAAAAAATTAGTTAAAAAATCAACCCATTCCTTCCCCCCCAGCCGGTTTGGTACCTCGCTGTGTTGAAATGCTGAGCGGCTCAAAGCTCACTGACCTCTGGCTCCGTGGGCTTTGCTCTGGCTTGTGCAACAGCAAGAGAGACAGACCGTGGTCTTTGCTACCGATGAGCTCTTGAACAAATCCTGTCAAGTCAAAGCCAGCTCTGTGAGGCTGATTTGGCATGGAAAAAAAGCCTAAAATAGCACAAAATGCTGCAGGGGCACTTGTGCAGGATTTGAAGGTGTGTTTTCAAGAAAGAAACACAGAGAAGCTGCATGAAGTCTCCTCCATCAGTCCCCTGCCTTCCCAAAAACACTTGCATGCAAAAAAAAACCTCACCTCCAGCTCCTACAGCCTGTTTGGGATGTGGTCACAGCATCAGCTGAAACACCCCTGGAGTCTTCTCACCCCCCCCCCATCCTCCTCCTCGCTGCGGGGTCTGCCTCGCCTGCTCCATCCAACACCCACACACACGAGGAACACACATCGCCTGGTTTCCTGCCAGTCCCTTCCCTCTTCCCACCCGTCCTGAGCTAGTCCTGGCTCCCCAGCAGCCTCCGGGTCCCCAGCAGGAGCTGAGGGGGTGCTTGGTTGGGTTTGGTTTTGTTTTGCTTTGTTTTTCCCCAATTACAAATTCATTTGCAATAGACACATCAGAGCTTTGCCAGCCGTTTGTACCGAGTTCTCAGCAGCCAGACCCATATTGTGGCCCCTCCTGTGCTACTTGTGCTGGGTATAAAAGCCACCACAGGGTTGGGGACAGGCTTCCCTGTCACCTGCAGCAGCTCAGAGCCGTGTCTCAGCCCCGTGACCACCCTGATGTTAATTCTGTAGGGGAAACACAACCCACGGCCACACCGACTGACCACACACCGGTACCGGCCCTGCAGCCACCCCTGCTCGGGCTGACCCTGGGGTCTGTCACCCTCTGACCCCCTGTGAAGACACTTCCAAGGTTGGCAGCCTGATGACACCCACGCTCTGCAGAAACAGGGCTGCACACGTGCTGTTTGCAGCACAGGCTGCTCTGACGGCCAGGAAAATGCACCCGGGTACGAAGGGAATGGGTTTGAATTGGAAGGAAAAATAAAAATAAAAATAAAAATAAAAATACAAATAAAAATAAAAATAAAGTGCATTTGCCTGCAGAAAAATGATCCTGATAAACCAGGTCCCCGTAACACAGCAAAACCCTCCCTGTGATCAACTACGTGTCTGCCTGCTGGTGTGAAACAAAATGCTGAGGATGCAGAAATTAAACTGGGAGTGAAACACGTAGGAAAAAACAACCCCTGTAAGTCCCTTCCTCGTACTTTGGGTACCGCTTGGTTTGATGCAACTCGAGGGGCTCCTGCCATAGCTGAGACACTGGAAAAATGAACAAAACCAGTGATCTTGACTCCTTTCCCTCTTGGGACACTTGACACGATCAAAGAGTTGGTGCACAAAACAAACAGCACGTTGTGACTGGTCTGACCCTGCCGCTGCGGCACGAACGGCACAGGCTGTGCGTGTCGGACGCAGTGGGGCTGGGGGTGTCACTGTCCTGGGGGTGTCACCATCCTGGGCTGGAGGTGTCGCCGTCCTGGACTGGGGGTGTCACCATCCTGGGCTGGGGATGTCACCGTCCTGGACTGGGGGTGTCACCATCCTGGGCTGGAGGTGTCGCCATCCTAGGCTGGGAATGTCACCGTCCTGGATTGGGGATGTCACTGTCCTGGACTGGGAATGCCACTGTCCTGGGCTGGAGGTGTCACCATCCTGGACTGGGAGTGTCACTGTCCTGGACTGGGGATGTCACCGTCCTGGGCTGTGGATGTCACCATCCTGGGCTGGAGGTGTCACCGTCCTGGGCTGGGAATGTCACTGTCCTAGGCTGTGGATGTCACTGTCCTAGGCTGTGGATGTCACCGTCCTGGGGATGTCACCATCCTCTCTCTCTCTCTCTCTCTCCTCCCCCAGGCTCTGTACAAGCTGTACAGCGCCGCCGCGACGCACAGACATTTGTACCACCACGCCTTCCCGGCACAGAAAGCGGAACCCGCCGAGGGCCCAGAGAGGAAGAAGGTGTAATCCAGGCGCGTGCCCATCCCTGCATGACCCAGGGCAGCCATCTCCTCCCTTCCACACTCTCATCCTCGTACCCATCACAAGCTCCTGCCGCGGAACAGGGAGAGGGGAGAACAAGTCACGTGTAAGGTGGTTCAGTGCGTTCGGTGTTTGCCGGGAAGATGTCGGCGTGTTTTTGGTTTTGTTCATATGTACATAACTGGTTATTGCTGCCACGACAAAGTGCTTCGAGTCTGTCACAGCCAGCGTTCTTCCCAGCTCCTTTACAAAGCCTTATTTGCCCTTTCTTAATTAGTTACGAATTACACTGAAGAAATTATTATCATTTACATGATACAGCAACTAAAAATCTTCCAGACTTTAGCGTTATTAAAAAAAAAACCCAACTTATTTTCAACTTACAAACAAGTTATAACATGTAACCAAGTTTTTTTTTCGTTAATTAACTATTTAATTACATAAACATAATTAAAAAAAATTAAAACAATGTATTAACTTGCTTTATCAGCAACTGTAAGGGCACTTCTGCTGTGGTACGTGAATGATCTTGTACGGAAAGCGTACTCTGTTTGTGAGCGAGGCACACAGCATCACTCTGTACATGTCCGGGGCAAGTGTCGCTGTATTTCTGTATATAACTTCATTACAGTGCATAGAACGTGGGCTCAAGTTTATTCTTTTATTGTCAGAACTATTAAAAGTTTGCTTTTGGTTCCTAAGAAGTTCATTAAACAGGAAGCAGTTATTGACTAACGCAGTGAGAGCTTCTCCTCTTGGGGTTTTGATATTCTTGGGTTTTCTTTTTGGCCTGTTTTAATTTTATATGTTTAAAATACTGCTCTGGTCTGTCTCCTTCCCTGGGTGTGACACCTCTGGGAGGTGCTTCTGCCACTAGTCGGGTTAAACCAGGTTTTAAAAGTCTTCAGAGAACCCCCAGCTACTGCTTTTCACCACTCGGAATCAGATCTTTTTATTGGTTATAACAACATTTTATTTAATGTTCTAAAAAAAATCAGTTAGAAAACCCTTCCTTCATTAAACAACATGATTTTTATTGAATTAACAGGATTTACAAGAAATGTTTGCTTTTTTTTTTGTCTGCAACAATGTTTATTGCACTAAAAAGAATCCATAAATAACATTTCAGAACAATGAAGGAACCAAATGAAAATATTGGAAAAGGGAACTGTACAATTATCAATTTTCCCCAAGTAAAGAAGCTTTAATACAAAGACAAAAAGCTCGTTTAAAAAAAATATAGAGTAATTGTTGTTTCATCCCTGATTTTTCCCGTGGTGCAGCTGGTTGGTGAGCTGGTCAGACAGTGCTGTTACCTGGGTCATGGTTTGTGAAATGCAGTTTACCTCGTGTTTAAAAAACCTGGTGAAAAATCTGCTGAGAGATCTTGGTCTTTGAGAAGGTACGAGCAGTTAGTTCCCCTCTGACTAATTCCTGTGAAAATTAGTAGTAAATCTAAAGCAGTTCTGATTTAAAGTTAAAAAATAAGGCAACTGAGAGTTCACTTTGCTGAAGTGATGAGGAAGGGTGGGGGTGTTCTGTACATTAAAGCTGTAAACACAGAGCAGACCCCTCTCTCCAGAGGGGGATTGGAAGTCCAGAGGGGAAATCAACAGAGATATTCATTTGGATTTTACCATTATTTTGAATCCAGGACATTTCATATAGTTGCATCTTATTGCCCTTTAAAAAAATATATAGTCAGCTTCTTAATAATACAGCTGACTGCTAGGAGAAAAAAAATAATAAAAATAAAAAGAATACCAGAAACAAGTCTCTGGTTAAACTCCGTGCTGGTTCTCAGAATAATAAACTAGTTCTCGTATGGAAAAAGATTAACCAAAGTTTTTCATTTTTATAAACAATACATCATACATGTAGAAAAATATTCAAGAGGATAATAACAAAGGTGCAAAGTCAACAAAAATAAGCTGCCTTTTCAACAAAAGCACTTTTTCTCAGAGTTTTAAGTGTGAAAACCTTTCCTTTTTTAAAGCTCTTCATGTCCTTGTAAAGTCTGTGAATGAATTGGTAGCTTAGAAATTCTTGCCATGCTGCTGGGCGTACCGCTGCTGCCTCTGCTTGCGGTGCTCCAGCTCGGTGAGCAGGGACTGCCTGTACGCCTCGTACAGCTTCACGATCCGTTCCAGTTCCTTCATGAAGAGCAGCTTCAGCATCCCCTGGTACGTGTCCAGATCCGCCAGCTGGAACAGCTCCCACTTCAGAATGTGATCGTATCTGTTGGCAGAGAAAAGCTGATCAGCTGGGTGTTTCTGCCAGCCTGTGCCCAGGGGTTTTTATGTGTTTTCTTAAAAAACTGGTCCCACAGAATCACAGAATGTTGGGGATTGGAAGGGACCTCAAAAGATCATCCAGTCCAACCCCCCTGCCAGAGCAGGAACCTAAATGAGATCACACAGGAAGGCGTCCAGGCGGGTCTTGAATGTCTCCAGAGAAGGAGACTCCACCCCCTCCCTGGGCAGCCTGTCCCAGGGCTCTGGCACCCTCACTGGAAAGAAGTTTCTTCTCAAGTTTAAGTGGAACCTCCTGTGTTCCAGCTCACACCCATTGCCCCTTGTCCTACCATTGGGCATCACTGAGAAGAGCCTGGCTCCATCCTCCTGACATTCGCCCTTTACATATTTATAAACATTAATGAGGTCTCCCCTCAGTCTCCTCTTCTCCAAGCTAAAGAGCCCCAGCTCCCTCAGCCTTTCCTCAGCAGGGAGATGCTCCACTCCCTTCATCATCTTGGTGGCTCTGTGCTGGACTCTCTCCAGCAGTTCCCTGTCCTTCCTGAACTGTGGGGCCCAGAACTGGACACAATATTCCAGATGTGGCCTCACCAGGGCAGAGTAGAGGGGGAGGAGAACCTCTCTCGACCTAGAAAGGGGAATTAACACCAAAAGACACAGAGCTGCGGCTCGGAGTGAGATGGAGGAACATCACTTGGAGCTACGCTGCAGAACTGCTCGTCATTTGCCAAGATAAACTAAAGCTCCTGTTAACTGATGATTATAAATCTCCATTATTATAAATCAATGGGGAAAATGCATTTTGGAAGCATTAAACCACCAATTCTGGGGCAGCCTGATCTAGTGGTTGGCAATGTTGTCCACAGCAGGGGGGTTGGAACTGGATGATCTTTGAGATCCCTTCCAACTCAAACCATTCGATGATTCAATTCCATGCAACCAGCCTTGAGATTGAGCAGTAAAACATCTTTTAAAATTAAAGAGTAACATTAAAAAAGAGAATTATTTCAACAGCTGAGCCTGGCACTCCCCAGCAGGCAGAACACTGCAAGTCCTCCCTCCCAACACGCTTCTGTTCCCAAAACATTCTTGTTTCAGGCCTAACAAGCACTCTTGGACACCATCCCCCTCTTGGTTAATTAACAGCAGTAATTAAAGTCGCTGTGTGCCAAACTGCAGGTCACAAACCCCACAAGGCCATGGACAGGGGTTATTAGACAGTGTCAGCGAGGACTGAGGGAGGGGGAAATCCAATTAGGCCGTAATTAATGGCTGCAAGTAGTGACACCAGCAAGGGGTGTCCTAAACCACCCGGAGCTACTGGCAGCGATCGCTCTGCCACGGGAGGAGCAAGGTGGGTGTCCAGGGAGCGACACAACCACTGACAGCTAAAAACCCTCCATGGACTTACTGCCCACACTGGGAACATGAGCTGCTGTGCACCTGGGGAGGTCCCTGGAGATGAGTGCCAAGAGCCTGAAACACACCAGTGCCACCCCAATCTCCTCCCCTAGGAATAAGGTCTCTGGGAGACCTTGTGGCTCTGTGCAAGTCCCTTGGAGGAGGGTGGAGAGAGGTGGGGGTGGGTCTGTTCAACCAAGGCCCAAGGGACAGGACAAGAGGAAATGGGCTCCAGTTGTGGCCAGGGCAGTTGAGATGGGATGTGAGGAAGAATTTCTTTGCTGCAAGGGTTCTGAGGCATTGGAAGGGGTTGCCCAGGGCAGTGGTGGAGTCCCCATCCCTGGAGGGACTGAAGAGTCGTGTAGACACAGTGCTGAGGGACATGGGTTAGTCATAGGGGACTGGTCAGTGTTGGGTTCATGGTTGGACTCCATGAGCTTAAAGGGCTTTTCCAATCGAGGCAGTTCTGGGATTCAGTGAAATAAAGCAGTACCATGACTCCAGACAGACAGATACGAACTGAAGCTTAAAACAAACAAGCTGTTCTCTTTGATGTTCTCCTTCCACCTCAGCGTGATGACTGGAGGAGTCTGGCAGGGTGACGCGTCAGCAGCCACCACAGACACGCTGCCCGAGGCTGCGAGGGAACGAGGGACACAAACAAGGTGTGACCCAGCTGTGAGCTCAGCTCTCAGCAGTGGGGACAGCTGGGCTAACCTGAGTCCACCTCAACTTGGGTGAGAACTTGAGGAATATCACCCCAAAATGAGCAGGGGTGCTAAGCTGTCCCTGAGCAGCATGGAGCCGGCTCGGGAACAGGACAGGCTGCGGAATTCCCTGAGCAAGGTGAGGAAACAGCAATTCCTCAACCCAGTTTTCATCTTGACTGTGTCCAGTCCGAGCCGTGCTCTGCAGTGGGCACTTCAGTGCTGCTTTGTTTGCATGAAGAAAGCCCTGATGTAGTTAATATCGCTGCAATATCCCCCATGTCCTGCTTTTTCCCCCCAGGAAAAATTAATTACATACATAATAAACATACAATTAATTTGCAATCTAATTTTCTTAAATTGGAAATAGGCAGCTGACCTGCTATAGTTATTAGAATAGAAAAAAATCATGGAATAAACTGAGTTATTTGATCCAACTGAACAGGAAAATGAGAAAATATCTTCACTTGAGTGGAGATTGAAGCCAAAATATCAGGAAATTTATGCAAATAAACTGTATTATATATTGAAAAGATAAATTGAGAAGGCTGTATGCATCAGGGAAGCACCAAGATATGCAGATAACTACCAAAGATGAGGAATTTTGAGGAATTCTGAGGAA